CAGTGCTGATGGGGGATTCAGCACCGCAGCTGGTGCCAGGGCTGACAAATCCGGCGGTACTGAGCCCAACGGTGCCGGCGAGGTTGAAGCTGGAGCCCTTGACGGTGCTGTTGCCTGGAGACATGGTGCCAGAGCAGTCTGCGCCAGCAGTGCCGCTCCCTTGGATGATGGTGCCGCTGATGGTGGTGCCGGCGCTGTCTGTGGCACGAAAGATGCCGAAGAGGTTTCTACAGGGGACCAGAGTTCCTGAGTGGTGTGCCGTAACATGCGTGCCCCCCAGCCCGTGAGGGAAGCATCTGTGGTAACTATAATGGAGGGGGACTCCTGCACGAATGGGACTCCGGAGCAGAGGTTGTGTGGAAGAGTCCACCATGCGAGTGAGTCCTTGACTTTGGTATGGATAGAAGTCTGTTTAGGCCATGCACATTTGGTCTGTAGACCGTGGTCATCCAACCCTGTAGGCACCGGCAGTGGCGTGCATTCTTGACCACAAAAGTGCAAGAGGCCATATGTCCGAGAAGTTGCAGAAAGTCACAGACAGTGGCCTGCGGGCCGTTCTGCAACTTGGCGACAAGATTCTTTATAGTGTTGAATCTGTCGGACGGGAGAGATGCAAGTCCGGTTATGGAATCGAGGTGAGTGCCTATGAACTCTAGTCGTTCAGTAGGAGTTAATGTGGATTTGTTTTTGTTTATTTGTAGGCCAAGACCCTGGAAGCAGTCAATGGTCATCTGCATGGGTTGGATGGCCTCCTCGAGAGTCTGCGCCTTGAACAGGCAATCGTCCAGGTAAGGAAAAATTATGACTCCTTTTTTCCGCAGGTGCGCCGTTGCCACCGCGAGAATCTTGGAAAAGATGCAGGGTGCTGCGGAGAGGCCAAAGGGCAGTGGGAATAAACACCCTTTCCCCTGTGTGGATCAGGCACTGTCTCCACTGCTCCTAGTTGCCGGTGTATGCATGCCTAACGATCTGAGCGTCGCTCTGGAATCCTTCATGGTGTGCAGCACCTCGTTGGTTTGTGCTGCAAATAACTTCTCACGATCGAAGGGGAGAATCTCTACGGTATTTTGTATCTCATGTGGGAAAGAAGAAGAGGCAAACCATGAAGCCTGACGTATCACTACGGCCATTGCGGTGGACCTGGCAGCTGTGTCCGCAGCATCGAGGGCAGCCTGCAGTGCCGTGTGGAAAATAATCTGCCCTTCAGAGACTACTGCTTTGAATTGTTGTCTCTTGTCCTCTGGGATGTCATTAATAAAATCCATGAGTTTCCCGTAATTTCTGTGATCGTATTTGGCCAGTAGGGCTGCGTAGTTTGCCACTCCAAATTGTAGCATGGATGATGCATAAACTTTGCTGCCAAGTAGGTCCATTCTTTTGCTGTCCTTATCAGAGGGAGTGGACCGGAAACGCTGCTGTTTGTTCTTTTGGTTGGCTGCTTCTACCACCAGTGAATTTGGTGCTGGGTGCGTGAAAAGGAATTCTGAACCCCTGGAGGGGACATAGCATTTTCGGTCTGCCCTTTTGCCGGTAGGGGGTATGGTGGCTGGGGCTTGTCAGATATTCTTGGCAGGGTCCATAATGGCTCCATTAATAGGTAGAGCGATCTTGGAGGAGGTCCAAGGTTGTAATAGGTCAGTCAGCTCATGCTGAGTCTCCAACACCTCCTCCAGAGTGATCTTGAGCTCATTAGCCACTCTTTTGAAGAGGTCCTGAAAATGAGTAAAATCATCAGCTGTTGTTGGGGATGGGGACATAATAGCCTCATCCAGTGAGGAGGATGAACTATTATTATTTGGAGAGGTTTCAGGTGCCTCCTTGTCTGCGTGCACCGCTGCAGGTTGCTCCTGTGCATCCGTTGCAGAAGCGTGCACAGGTACAGAAGGAGGTCTAGTGTCGCCTCTGCATGGGCTGTGCCAGCTATCGTGGTGCCTGCTGTAGGACCCCACGGGTTCCAGTAATGCTTATCTGACTAAAAAACTAGGTAAAATGTATAAACACCTATCTAAAGCAAAAAAATAATTGAGCAAGACTGCTGAGCTCCATCTCAGGCCAGGACAGTAGAGAAGGAATTGAGGAGCCTGGGCTGTGTGCTATTGAGGCACAGTCGGCGTGTGGGCAGGCACCGCGTGTGCGCGGCCCGTGCAAGTACTGCTCTAAAAATCTCCGAGTGAAGGTGCACCAACACCTGGAGCGTAGCACCCACAGGAACATCTCTCGAAGAAAAAGAAGAACGTATGCCATATTTACAGGATGAGGGACTCTATGCTGGGAAGCAGACACTCTGAAAGACATTTAGAGGTTGGGGTGGACAATCACCCGAATGAGTTCCCAGTCTGACGCTGTGGCCAAAAGAACTAATATGATCCTGGGATGCATCAACAGGGGAATCTCGAATAGAGTAGAGAGGTTATTTTACCTCTCCACACTTGGCACTGGTGAGACCATTGCTGGAATACTACATCCAGTTCTGGTGCTCACAATTCAAGGAGGATGTAGATAAATTGGAGAGAGTTGAGAAAAGAGCCACAAGAATGACAAAGGATTAGAAACATGCCTTATAGTGATAAACTCACTGGCTTGAGCTTCTTGAGTCCAACAAAGAGAAGGTTAAGGGGTGACTTGATTAAAGTCTTGAAATACCTACATGGGAAACAGAAATTTGATAACAGGCTCTTCAGTCAAGCAGAGAGGCATAACATAATTTAATGGCTGGAAATGGAAGCTAGACAAATTCAGACTGAATACAAGCTTTAAATTTAACGGTGAGAGGAATTCACCACTGGAACAATTTACCAAGGTCCATCACTGAATTATTAAATCAAGACTGGCTTGTTGTTCTAAAAGATAACCTCTAGGAATTATTTTGGATGTCAGACTAGATGTTCACAATGGTTCCTTCTGGCCTTGAAATCTATGAATTTTTTTTTTCAAACTAGAAAATCTAAGACTGCTTCCTCTATTACTTTAAGCTTTGCAGAGGCTGGCTGATCCTGAAACCTTGTATTGGAGCTCTTCAAAACAAGAGATTTTATTTTTAAAAAAAATCAGAGACCTTGATTTTTTTCAAAAATTATGGACTGTTTATTTGTTAATAGTGGGATGAGATTTATTACTTCTATGACTACTACTGACTTTCCTTGGGGGCTTTTGGCAAGTCACAACCTCATTATCCCTCGATTTCTACCATCTGTAAAACAGAAGTACTACTATATAACATCACCCTAGGATGCTGAAAGGCTTAGATTAAAATGGTTTAAAATGCTTAGATGGTAGGAAGTTCCACAGGACTGACAAAGAAAATGTGGTGACAATATTTTTAAAAAGGTAAATGGGATGACCCAAGCAATAATAGGTTTTTCAGCATGACACTGACCTTTGCCAAACTAGCAAAGAATAATTAAAAAAAATAGTTAATAACAGAATTAAAAAAGAAAAAAGGAGGCTAATATAATACCAATCATCGGAGGTTTATGGCAAATAGATTGTGTAACTTGATATGTTTTTGATGAGATTAAAAGTTTGATAAAGATAATAGTTTCGATCTAATATAGACTTCTGTAAGGCATTTGACTTGGTACTGCATGATATTTTGGTTAAAAACTAGAATGACTCAAAATAAACATTAGCACAAACTAAATGGATTAAAAACTGTCTATCAGGTCTCAAAATTTTGAACAGGGAATCATCAGTAATTCGGTTTCCTGAAAGGACTGGTTCTTGGCCTTATGCTATTTAACACTTTTTCCCAGTGAACTAGAATTAAAAGTCATGCCTGATAAAGTTGCCAGACGATGAAGATGGGGGGGGAGTGGCAAATAACAGAGGACAGGTCACTCACAGAGCAATCTGGATCACTTGGTAAACTGGGCATAAGCAAACAATGTGCATTTCAATACAGCCAAATGTAAGGTCATACATCTAGAAATAAAGAATGCAAGCCATCCTTAAAAGATGAGGGACTATCTTGTGAAACAGCAACTTTGAAATGGACTTGAGAGTCATGGCAGATAGTCAGCTAAACATGAGTTCCGAGTGCAATGCTGTGGCCAAGAGGGCTAATGTGATCCATTGATGAACAAACAAGGGAATACTGAATAGGAATAAATTATTGCTGCTGTATTTGGCACTGGTGTTAGCACTGCTGGAATACTGCGTCCAGTTATGGTGTCCACAATTCAAGAAAGATGTTGAAAAATGGGTAAGGGTTCAGAGAAGAGCCACAATAATGATTAACGGATTGGAAAAACATGTCTTATTGAAAAAACTCAAGGGGCTCAATCTATCTAGCTTATCAAACAGAAGGTTGAAGAGTAACTTGATCACAGTCTCTAAATACCTACATAGGGAACAGAAATTTGACACTGAACGGATCTTCCATCTAGTAGACAAGGCATAACAAGATCCAATGGATGCAGGTTGACAGTGAGTAGGTTTAGATTGGAAATAAGGTACAATTTAAAAAAAAAAAATCAGTGGGGGGCAATTAGCTATTGGATTTTACCAAGGGCTGTGCAGGATTCTCCATCTCTGGAAACTTAGATCAAGATAGGATGTTTTTCTAGAACATATGTTCTAATTCAAACAGGAGTTAATTCAGGGGGGTCTTACGGTCTGTGTTACACAGATAATCAAATCTGACTATCACAAATATTCCTTCTGTTTTATAATCTAACAACGAACATGAAGCTCCAAATGAAGATTTAAATAATGAAGATTGTGCTATATATACTATAATATATGGAGATATATCTCATAGAACTGGAAGGGACCTTTAAAGGTCATCGAGTCCAGTCCCCTGCCCACACTAGCAAGGCCAAGTACTGTCCCTAACCGTTTATAGGCTATGCTATAGGCTAATCATGATTTAGCATTATCTACTCTAGCAGCTGAACAGTCTACAATCATGGTTAAAGGGTACAGACAGATCTGTTCAAGATCACCATTATCAAAAGCAGGACAGTTTCCTAGGCAGACAGGAACCCAGCTGCATTACTTACCAAAGGCACTGAAAAGCTGGTAAAGATCACTAGTCTTCCACTCTTTGGGAAATGTAACATGAAGAACATGGTCTCGTTTTGGCTGCACTGCAAGATAAGAATGCATTTAATAATGCTGTCAGGTATTCATATTTTATTTGAATTGTTCAGTGTATCAGAAAAAACTAAAATGTATACTCGAACTGTTAGAGTTGGCAACTACTCATTACAGAAAACTAGTGCATTTACAATTACTGTAATTATGCATGAAAATTACTACTTAAAATCAAACTGGCCCATTTGTATATGCATTTGAAGCAACAGTGCATGAAGCAGTAACTGCTCACAAATTGTGTACGTGCCTTTTTTGCCCAGCGTTGCTCATATGTAATTATGAAAATCCAGTCTCTTACATCTCTTTTACACCAAGTTCAAGGAAACAAAACTTACTGTAAAACAGTTCTTAATTATGTTTTCACACAGTACCAAATACAAATTAGAATATAATACAATCATCCTCAGTTAACCAGTTTAAACCAGGAATGTGAAATTGAGTGCAATTCCCACCACTGCTAAACTGTGTTAAGGAAACAGCTTAGCATTTCTAGTATACTCTCCATGAGTAGCTTACTAAAAATTCCTATTAAGAATTCCTTATAAATCTGGGATTTTTTTTTAAAAGAATGAGTACCTTAATTTAAAAATTCAACTTCGTTTTGGTCTGTACAGTACAGAAACCTATTTTGCAGTGTACAGGCAGTTTCATATTTTAAACTTTTGCTCTGTCAACTTTCAGAACTGCTGGTTATACAAGTGTATTTTTAATCTTAAAAAGAAATTTTGAATTTTAGCACTAATACAGGGGTCGGCAACATTCGGCACGCAGCTCGCCAGGGTAAGCACCCTAGCGGGCTGGGCCAGTTTATTTACCTGTTGACGCAGCGGGTTTGGCCGATCTATTAGTGCAGGGGTCGGCAACGTTTGCCGTCCCGGGCCAATGGGGGTGGCAGGAAGCCGCGGCCAGCACATCCCTCGGCCCGCGCCGCTTCCCGTCGCCCCCATTGGCCCGGGACAGCGAACGTTGCCGACCCCTGCACTAATAGATCGGCCAAACCCGCTGCGTCAACAGGTAAATAAACTGGGCCAGCGCGATAGCGTGCTTACCATTGCGAGCTGCGTGGCGAAT